CGTTCTTTAGAATTATAATTGAAGAAAATGTCGAGAGAATTGTAACAAAATGCGACTAATTTTTATCAAGTACAGAAAATATAATGTGTTATGTATGATTATCAATTGTACAATTCTGTTTATCCCTATTTATTTCTAATTATTATTTATTTTTAATTAAGGCATTGTTAAATTATTATAAATGAAAGAAATATCTTTGTGTGCGATTTGTTATTACATTTCCTACAGAAAAAAATAAAAAACTTAAAAATAAAAAAAAAGCACTTTATTTTATTAATATAGAATATAATTATAAAAATACTAAAAAAATAAAGTTATAAAAACATGATTTTGTAAATATCTGGTATAATACAAAAAAATGTTTTCATTACCAATTCCAAATATTTATTCGCATGATATATCATTCTTGATGAAGACATGGTATTGTTATAATTATACATATAGACTAATACATCAAAGAGATTAAATTATTTTAATAATATCAAGAGATTAGACATTATTAAAATAATTAGATTGTTATTTACTCTTTATACGTAATTTCTATCTATTCGTATTCACCCGTCACGTGTTGCGTTTTACAAAAATAATATCATTCGCTAAGTTGTCCGGATGCGTGACCAAACTGTAAACATAGTACCCCCGATGTTCCATCATATCGACCAAGTATTTTCGTCCTTTTTTATTGTGTATATACTCCACAGAGAGAGTCTGAAACGTATATGTATATGTATTTCTTCATAAACGTATATGTATTTCTCATCATAATTCTGTCTAAAAATATTAAGTATGTTCCGTAAAGAAACTACGTAGTTTGCGGATCTTTCCATGATCTTGATGTCATAAAATATCAACGTTTCATGAATTGCAGTTTACTTCATCAGAACGAGAGAAACAATCTAATAATGAACTTCTCTCATCTCTGGAGAATTCCTTTTATATACATTGTTAAGGAAGAGGAAAGATAAGAAAAGAAGAATATGATGAGAAGGGGGATGGTCCAGAGACTTTGAGATATAATTAACGCTTTACATAAAGTTTTCCTTAGTCTTATTCCTTTAATCGAACACTATTTAACAATCACGTACTTCTCCTACAACGTATCATTACAATTACATATTATTATATATAAAAATGACCTACAAACTGCGTAATTTCTTTGAAGAAAATAATCGTAGAATCCTCAAAAGTATTATTATATTATTTCACTTCTAAGAAAATATATCGCGAACATCAGAAACGAACGCATAGATTCAGAATGAACTAAGGTAAGTGCCGTACCTTTATGTCCACTTCGTTAAATGGTATTGTTTCTAATACGTCGATCTCATTGCCTTCTATGTCGAGGCTGAAATAATCGATCGTTTTGATTTCCAACGCGGCGATGTAATGTGTTAATGGAAAGCATTGCACGCGAACGTGGTTGCCCGTGTAAGCCACGTCAAGCGTATTTGCGGGCATATCCTCCGTCCTGTTCTCGGGTTCGTGTAGACGACCTACATTCCTGGCCATGAGAAAGGATGCCTGTAAATTTCATAAGATTCATCAAATTTTTCGGAATTCATGTAACATCTAATATGCTGAGTCAAAATTAGTGCTCGAATTTCGCGACAGCACTGTTTCAAAATAAATATTAACGATCAAATTTGATTTTTTACCACCGTAGGATTCTTAGTAATGCTAAGACACGTTGGCGAGAGATAGGCCTTTCTGTTCTTTTGCAACATCTTCGTGAAATTAATAGGATCAGCTTCTATCAAGAGACCTGACCATCCTTTAAATCGCTCTAGAAACAATGTATTGCTACGTATTTCCCCGTCATACGCGCCACATTCTATGAAAAATCCATTTTTCTGTAGAGAGCAATAAATGAAATTTGATATTTATTAATAATATAAATCGATCGAGCATAATTATCATATATTCATTCGTTTATTCTTGTGAAAAACATTTTTCTTGCATTTCTCACGAAATTGTAATAATTATTTTACCTTATCGTTTAAAATTTCGCGTATCGCAGTTGACTGTCCCATCGACGGATCTTCTACATCTGGTTCTTGAAGCATATATGACTCTTTCGGATTATGATTCCATATTATCCAATTTTGATGAATATCGGCCAATAAATTATGAAAGGCTTTTGAGCTCAAGGCGGATAAATTCTTCTTGTTGTACCATTTTTCATCTAAGTAGTAGTTAATTATTAATTATTTTTCAAAAAAAATAAGAATTGCAAACTATACATACAATACAAATATTTTTATAATTTTTGATATTCAGGTATGCAATATAAATAAATGTATCGTGTTATTCAACATAAAAAAATGTATGCTATTATTTTTATATTAAGCAAAATAAAAATTAAATAGCAAGGGCAGTCTTATATTCTGTTATTAAAACTTCTATTTTTCTTTTAATTAAAGGATCAATAATAC